TATCTAAGTAGTGTTTACTAGGTCTCTCTCTCTATGAAAGATGGTTTAAATTGCTATTATTTAGATAGAAGTTGTTTCTGAAGAGTACCCGGGTCTGAATCTAATTCTCTCAATTCTAAAACCCCAACAGCTCTATTACAGATTTTGTAAAGCCAAACTCCTTTTAAAATGAGCTGTTCCTACAGATGTCAGGTAATACTTGCAACAACTTTGTTTGCTTTTTAAAGGAGAACTGATTTTCTAAAGAATAATTAGCCTACCCTACACTTAGACAAAAATAGTCATCCCAGAGTGTCTGGAATGACAGTCTGAATGAATGAAACAACCAATTCGCCCTCTGAAATTCAGAAATTAAATCTAGGTATTACTATATTTCTACTACTTGGAAGGCTGAGCAAAAGGATCGCCTGAGCCCAGCGGGTCGACGCTGGACTGGCCGTGAACATGCCACTGCACTCCAACCTGGGCGACAAAGTGAGACTCCAACTCTCTCTCTCTCTCAATATATATATATATTGCTAGGTTATACATACCATATAAGGTATATTGAAATGGGACTTTAAAAAAAATCAGAAGTCTACATCTTTCATTCTTTTCTTGAAGGGGATTTCTTGGACATTATGTCTGGTTCTTTAGTGACTTGTTTTTGAGTCTCCTAGGCTGCATTGTTGCTCATTCAGCAAACTGTTACAGGGGCAGGGGAGCTCACAGCCTGGGGATAGGGGAGGAGAGGCAGAGCATTAGCAGACAATGACACTGCAGTGTGGTCAATGTCTCCCTTGGACAGTGTCCTCCCAACCTATCCTTGAGAGTGTTCAGCGAAAGCTTCCTGAAAGAGTTGTCACCTGTCAGTGAAAGACTGTTGTCCTGTATCTTTTCAGCCAAGCCCATAACACAGAGCCAACCTATGTATCCAAACTCCCCTGGCTTAATACAGGTGGCCTAAAACTTGGAAGGGGTCTGAACCTTGAATTTAGGCCTTGTAGCCTGAAGTTACCCCAAAGTCTTCCTGCCTGTTATTCAACACCAAGAAGAAAAACCCCAGACTACTTTCCACATACATTTGGGAACTTTAGCTCCAGTCTTCATTTAAAGGGGATATGGGAAATTGGTCTTTGTTGTAAATTAAAGTAGCTCCTTCTGCCTTTAATTGTTCTACTTTGTCAGGCTTCTGGTAGATGTTTGTTCATTCTCCTCCACCCCATCTGCCCATGTTGATATTCTTGCCATTTTGAAAGTCCTATCAGCCAGGCTCGGTGGCTCAGCCTGTAATCCCGTGCTTTGGGAGGCCGAGGTGAATGGATTGCCTGAGCCCGAGGGTTCGAGACCCGCCTGAGTAACTTGACGAGACCTCATCTCTACAATACATCAAAAAATCAGCCAGGCGTGGTAGCGCATGCCTGTAATTCCAGTTGATTGGAAGGCTGAGGCGGGAGTGGCCACTGCACTCCAGTCTGGGCAACAGAGTGAGACTCTAACTCAAAAAAAAAAAAAAAAAAGTCCTGTAATTCCTTCATCTGCACACTAACCATGTGCGAGTTTCACGCACTGACCTTGACCTAGGCTCTGAGGAGGATGCTCGAGAAAAACACAAAGACTAGCTGGGCACAGTGGCTCACATCTGTAATCCCAGCACACTGGGAGGCCAAAATGGGAGAATCTCTTAAGGCCAGGAGTTCGAAACCAGCCTGGGCAGCATACCGAGACCCTATTTCTACAAAAAAAATTGTTAAAAACTGGCTGGGCATGGTGACGCATATGCCTCTAGTCCTAGCTACTTTGGGATGTGAGGCAGGAGGATCACTTAAGCACGGGGTCAAGGCTGCAGTGAGCTATTATCACACCACTGCATTCCAGTCTGGGAAACAGAGCAAGTCCCTGTCTCAATACATGCATACATACGAGAACTGACAATTAAGTTTGCAAATTCATCCTAGAAAAAGTGCTACATACTATTGCTGATTATCACTACAGTCACCTTTGAAGTGCTCCCCCTTGGAAAGCTATGCACCAACACCAGCTCTTAGTCCACCCATCAAAGCAATTTTGAAATTCTTTTTCTGGAATGGCCATCAGAGCTATCATCGCAAGAATGTTGGAGCTTGAATTAGAGCAATGAACAAACATTACATTTTTTCTTAAACTTGACAAGAGTGAAAGTGAAATCAGGGACATGTTAGTCCAAGTTTATGGGAATAATGCTATGAAGAAAATGGCAGTGTACAAATTAAACATTTTTCTGAGGGGAGAGAAGGCACCACTGATGAAGAGAGGTCAGGACGACCAGTCACAAGGAGAACTGATGAAAACATTGCAAAAATTCATCAAATTGTGCATCAAAATCACTGGCTAACTATGAGAAGCATAACAGACCAAATAGACATGGATAGAGAAACAGGAAACTCTTAACTGAAAATCTTGGCATGAGAAAGTGTGTGCAGAAACGGTCCCAAAGGAGCTCTTGAATCATAACAATGCACCAGCTCACATAGCACTGTCTGTGAGGGAGTTTTTAGCCAGTAAACAAATAACTGCATGGGAACACCCTCCCTATACACCTGATCTTTTTCCTTTACCCAAATGACTTTTTCCTTTATCCAAAGATAAAGAAAATATTGAAAGGAAGAGATTTTGATGACTTAAGAACACCAAGGGTTATACAAAGACAACACTGTTAGCCAGTCCAGGAAAAGAGTTTCAAAATTGCTTTGATGGCATGTGGACTATGTGCTGGCATCAGTGCATAGCTTCCCAAGGGGAGTATTTTGAAAGCGACCATAGCGATATTCAGTAAGGATGCATGTAGCACTTTTTCTAGGATGCTTCACGAACCCAATTGTCAAACTTCAGACATACATACACAAGTAAATAAATAAACAAAGGGCTCCTCCTAGAGGCTGGGGAACAGACGACCCATAGTCAAGCACAGGATCATTACAATACATAGACACTACTGTTCGAGACCTCATCTCTACAATAAATCAAAAAATCAGCCGGGCGTGGTAGTGCACGCCTGTAATTCTGGCTACTTGGAAGGCTGAGACGGAAGGATCGCCAGAGCCCAGCGGGTCGAGGCTGCGGTGGCCGGGAGCAGCCACTGCACTCCAGTCTGGGCGAGAGTGAGACTCCAACTCAAAAAAAAAAAAGAAAGTTTGGGGTGAAAATCACAGGGGACCTGGAACCTGACCTTGCAGGGGACTCCAGCTGGGTGAGTAGAGAAGGCGGGAGTAGGCTTCTGTAGGACATGAGAGCGTAAGTTTGGAGTATTTCTGGGACAGTGCAGAGATGGTCAACATGGGCAGATGGGGTGGAGGCCGAACGTGCTGACAGCAAGCTAGAAGAATCTGGCTTTCTGTTTATGGCACAGAGCCTTTGCAACTATGAAACTGTAGATGAAGTGTGATCTTTGGTACTCTCCCCCCTCTTTCCTGTCAGTCTGTGCTACTGATTCTGAGAATCATGCTTTTCAGGTAGTGGGAGCCTTGGAGATCAGACAGCTTAGTCCCCCTATGTGTCCAGTGAGAAAATTTGCTCCCAAAGTTCAGGTGGTTCAGGTGCATTGGCACAGAGCAGCAGAGCAGAGTAAGATGTGCCTGGCCACCCCAATGATAGGACCTACACCTGGGCTTCTTCTGCTCTTGGTACTTGTCTCCTCCTGTGAGTCCTGGAGGCCAGGACCCTAGACAGTTATCCATAGGTTCACAGGAGCCTGCAGGAAAGAGACCATCACATCCTAGGCCTTCTAGTCAATGTGGGCTCCAGGGACAGTCTAGTTCTCACAGGACTTCATCTCTCTATATGGACTACTGGGAACTAGGCAAACGAGAACTTGAAGAATAGAAGTTGTCAGCTATTGAGAAAAGACACAGAGGCTGGTCTGTGGCTCATACCTGTAATCCTGGTGCTTTGGGAGGCCAAGAACGGAGGATCACTTAAGACCAGAAGCTCAAGACCAGCCTAGGCAACAAAGTGAGACCCTAATCTCTACAGAAAATGAAAAAAAAAAAGAAAAAGAAAAAGAGAGGACAGAAAAGAATTAGAATGCACTGAGCAGATTTGTGTGAGCCACAAGAAGCCAGACTAGGATAGGAAGAAGAAGAACATTATTACATTTGGGAGAAGTTTTGTTTTTTTTTTCTTTTGAGTCACTAATCATAGGCTGCCTATGGCCCCTCACCTAGAGAAAGCTGGATGGAGTATGACTGAGAGCAAGGTAGAAAGGCTGGTTGTCAAGAAAATCAAGGAACTGTTGCTAGAAAGAATGTGGAGGATAAATGCTGGAAACATGCACACATACACACACACACACAAAACAACAGCTATTGACAACAGCACCCTCATACTCACCTGGAGATAAAAATGTCTGCCTGGTATGTTCCTGTAAGTGTTTCCTGTGCCAAGTATTCTCAGTGCTTTATCTATATTAACCAATTAATCCTAGCCTCAACCCTGCTATTAGTCCCATTTTATAGAGGATGAAATTGAGGTACAGAGATGCTAATTAACCTACCCAAGATCTTACAGCTAGTAAATGCCAGAGTTGGAGTATAAAACCAAGCAGTCTAAAATGTGTGTTCTTAATTATTGTGTTACAGGTATCTCCAGTTTCCTTATTTTCCTTCTTTATGTATTTTTTCCTCTAGAATAGGGGTTTGAGAAAGGCCCTAATAAAGAATGTAAATCTTATAGCACACAATAGCAGCTATTATTCCTTTTTTTTATTATTTATTAACAGAGTATACAAAGTCTCTGATAAATGGTAGACATTCAATGATTATGAAATAAGACAAAAGGTAATTGAAGACCAGCCAAGACATTCACATGGACTCTATAGCTGAAAGAAAATCTGGGCGATCTTAAGGGACATTAGCAATAAGTATGAAAGAATAGGTGCAGATTGTCAACCGATGAATAGAAATGTCCAGAGACCCAAGGATGCGGGGATGAAGCAGTGAGATGCTGAATTCTTTAATGACTCCTATTCTCCTCCCCTTCTCAAGTGCTGCTTAAGTAGAGCGGAGGCCAGACGAGATGCAGCTAAAGTGGCCCTAATCAACTCCCTCTTCAACGAGCTGCCCTCCCGCAGGATCACCAAGGAATTCATTATGGAAAGTGTGCAGGAGGCAGTAGCCTCTACCAGCGTGAGTACCCACCAGGGAAGGCAGGGGAGGGGATGGCTATACTGAGGGACCTGAGGCATTGAAATATTGGGAGATGTCAAAGTGAGCACATTCTTTTGTTTTCTTTTTCTTTTTTTGAGACAGGACTGTCTCTGTTGCCCAGGCTGGAGTGCAGTGGCACACTCATAGCTCACCACAGCCTTGACTTCCTGGACTCAGGTGATCCTCCCACCTCAGCCCCTCAAGTAGCTGAGACTATAGGTGTGCACCACCATCCCTGGCTAATTTTTCTATTTTTTGTAGAGATAGAGGTCTCATTTTGTTACACAGGCTGGTCTTGAAATCCTGGGCTCAAGCAATTCTCTTGCCTCAGCCTCCCAAAGTGCTGGGATTACAGCTGTGAACCGCTGTGCCTGGTTGCAAATTATTATTGTAAAAATAGTATAGATTCAACTTTAACCCATTTAATTGTTAATTTTTAGGGAAAAAAAAAACTTGAATCAGAAATCATGAAATTAGAGCTGAATCCCCATCCCAAATCTCAATTATATTCTTTAGCTTCCCTGGATCACAATTAATCAAGCTTTCAATCGAAGTGATATAATTAAATGACCCACCTTGATTTGTTTAATTGAATGTTTGTTTTGAAGAATGCTGATTCTTTTAGGACCTAGGAATGCATGCAGCTGAATATTGCTTTAGTCTAGTGATAAACTAGCTCAGTTTCCCCCAAATTTGAAAGATCATAAAAATCATCAGACCTAGCACTCCGGGCGGTGAAGGCAAGAGGATCACTTGAGAATAGGAGTTCAGAAACAACCTGGACAACATAGTGAGACCCTGTTTCTAAGATTTTTTTTAAAAATTAGCTGGGCATGGTGGTGCAAACCTATTATTCCAGCTACTTGGGAGTTTGAAGCGGGAAGATCACTGGAGCCCAGGATTTCAAGGTTTCAGTGAGCTATGATCACACCCTCACTCCAGCCCAGGCAATAGCGAGACTCTGTCCATAAAAATAAATAAATAATCATCTGAGGCATGTATTGAAAGTACCAGTTCCCCAGCCTGTGTGGCCCTGCAATCTTATTTTTAAGGAAAGGCTGACTTAAATGTCGGAATACCCATAAGCCCAATATGTGTTAGCTATTAGTATTATTGTGGTTAATATCACTTACCTCTTCCAGAGAGCTTTGAATTTTTCTGTATTGGACACAGTTAAATGCAAAATGCTTTAAGAGTAAAATGCCTTGCCTTAGAAATTTAGAAAGGACATCTTTTCAGCAATTCAGAACTGGATTATTAGTGCCATGGATGATTTGGTGCTCCCAACCCCCATTACCTCCAAACTATAAGCCAAGGAGGAAGCCTTGGGTCCCCGGCTGTGGCAGGTGTCTCCCTGTGTGTGCTCAAGGGCAGGAACTTGGCATTCCCAAAGGGACTAGCCATTTCCAGCTTGCCATTTAGCAAGAATAAAGCTTCTTGGAGATTTCCTTCTATTTCCCTTAATCTGACTAGAAAGGTTCTGTCATTCTGGAGAAACTACTGATAATGAAGAAGACATTATCAGACTAGCAGCAACCCCTTTCCCCTCATAAATACTCCTATCACTTAGAGCAAAGATAGGGAAGAGGTGGAGAAAACAGTGATTGACCTAGCAGGGAGACAGCAGTGAGATGGCTGGGATCTCTGTTCTATATCTGCCCTGAGGATGAAAGGAAGCCTTTATGTTCCGGCCCTGTAACTTTTAAGTGCCTTTGAGGAAGAGAAGTAACAAAAATGATGCCTGATTTACATAAGTGTGGAATTTGTTCAGGAGCAGGGAAGGGCCCTCAGCATAAAAGTAATTTGTCATTTTCTCATGGAAATTTCTAAGGAAAGAAAATATATATGGTTTGCATACTTCTGGATGGATTTCCTCTGGGATATTTAAAAAGCCAACATAAATATTTCAGCAGCAGTGTGTTAATGTTGCTGCATTCAAAGGCTATAAATTTGCTGCTATCTGATGCTGGCACTTGTTTGTTTAGTCTCACAAAGTCACCATTGCCCACCTTCCCAGGAATCTCTGACCACAGGACATGGAAGGACAGGCCCAAATGCCATTTCAAAGCTGTGTTAGCACCACTCCCCACAACCAAACTAAAAGGAAATTTCATTTCTACCTGTCACTCACCCACCTTGTTTCCTAAAGATTACATGGTCAGGAGGTGAAAAAATATAAACCAAAATCCATGTCTCCAGGCCAAACACCAGCAATTATGAAATGTTCTCGTTAAGAATCATGGCAGTAAAATATAAATGGTCCATACAACTAAAGAATTCTTTCCACATCAGCAATATCATCTTGCCTGGTTGTCATTGGAATCAGGGCAAAGTCCATGTTTTAAGATTTCCATAACCAATCAAGGTAGCGTTGGAGGGCAGCCACGCAAATGTTGCCATCCACCAACAAAAGCGTGTGCAATGATACAGAAATGTTTGCTTTTGGAAAACTATTCTATCAGCAAGTAAATAATCAGTTAACATTCTAAAACTAGATTCAAGTAATTACAAAACCTTCTCTGCTTTGAGTCATGGTGAGATTAAGAATTTTATCCCAAGCCGGGCTCGGTGGCTCAGCCTGTAATCCTGCGCCTTTGGGAGGCTGAGGTGAGTGGATTGCCTGAGCCCGCGGGTTCGAGACCCGACTGGGCAGTGAGACCTCATCTCTACAATAAATCAAAAAATCAGCCGGGCATGGTAGCGCATGCCTGTAATTCCGGCTACTCGGAAGGCTGAGGCGGAAGGATCGCCGGAGCCCAGCAGGTCGAGGCTGCGGTGGCCGGGAGCGGCCACTGCACTCCGGTCTGGGCGACAGAGTGAGACTCCAACTCAAAAAAAAAAAAAGAATTTTATCTCAAATCAGCTGGAGACTTGGTTGCAGAGTGCACATCTGTTCAGGTTAGGCCAACAATAGAAGCTTAGCTGTGTGGCCACAGGATTAATTTGTGACCACTCAAAGAAGAGGAGGAAAACTTAGTGATATTTCCTTTTTCTGCCTTCCTTCTCCAGGGCACTTTAGATGATGCAGATGACCCCAGCACTAGCATTGGCGCCTATCACTACATGCTGGAGTCAAACATGGGGAAGACCATGCTGGAGTTTCAGGTACTTGCCTGCCTGCCACATGTACATGTGACTATCTATCCAGAAGCCTGGGAGAAATGCAACTCTTATCAATAACATCTTCTGTCCCAGTGGTGCTGGGGAGGTGCAGTGTGATGCTCCATGGGTTCTTTGATTCAGCCACAAAAATGAATTTCAGAGCGAGTTGCAAGTATAGTTTAAGACAGAATTTATTAGAAAGAAAGAGACATGCCCAAGGGGCATGGGAACCTTAAGAGAAAGGACACGTGTTTGCCTTTGACAAGAAGTTTTTTATACCTTTACAATGATTATTAAGCAAACCATGAGCTAAGAGTGGAGCACTGCAGGTATCCGGTCACAAGATTTTTTGTTTTTGTTTTTTTAATGGAAAATATAGTTTATTTAGAAAGTAAATCGGTGAGATAGAGAAGAGATTCATCTCCCCCAGGTAGGGGAGGGGGCCAAAGCATACAAAAACATGGTGACCATAGTTCAATGAACACATGGCCTGGCCAGTACTAAACAAAACAATGGACTGGTCATGAGTTTTGATTACCATATCTCCACCTTCTCTGAGATAAGAGGGGTGGGCTGCAGGTGTCTGGTTCTGAGTTTTGATGATGATCTCTCAATCTTCTGAGGTCACAAGGATCTTTTAAATAATTAGTCATAGCCGGGATCGGTGGCTCAGCCTGTAATCCTGCACATTTGGGAGGCTGAGGTGAGTGGACTGTCTGAACCCCCGGGTTCGAGACCCGCCTGGGCAACTTGGTGAGACCTCATCTCTACAATAATTAAAAAAATTAGCCGGGTGGGGTAGCATGCACCTGTAGTTCCAGCTACTTGGAAGGCTGAGGTGGAAGGATCGTCAGAGCCCAGCGGGTCGAGGCTGTGGTGGCCGGGAGTGGCCACTGCACTCCAGCCTGGGCAACAGAGTGAGATTCACTCCAACTCAAAAATAAATAAATAATTAGTCATTGCCTAACTAGATTTGAGCTTTTCTTAGAACATCATGCCTGTGTTTTGGGTAATTCCCTGTTATTTCTGTGATTTACTGCACTGGTAGATCCAGATTCCAGCCCACAGGGTGGTCAAGTCTGGTGTGCCTGATCATTTGGGTGAAGGTCATGTACCAATAGGAAAAAGGTTTAAACGTTTACCCTGTTTTAACTTAAACTGCCTACAAGAAACTTATCTATGTCTATCTATCTATGCACTGAATAACCAGCCTCACCAGTAATCTACTTGTTTTTCTTTTGGTCTTTAAGCATTTTGGTCATTTAAATTTAACCGTTCTAGAATCCAATACAGGAATCCCATCTCAGCCACACCTCAGTAGGCCTAAAGGAATAAGCAGTTGGGGCACAGTCTTTGTTTGTTTGTTTGTTTTTTGAGTTGGAGTCACACTCTGTCCCCCAGACTGGAGTGCAGTGGCCGCTCCCGGTAGGCTCCGGCGATCCTTCGCCTCAGCCTTCCAAGTAGCTGGAACTACAGGCGCGCGCTACCACGCCCACCTAATTTTTTATTTTATTGTAGAGATGAGGTCTCACCAAGTTGCCCAGGCGGGTCACGAACCTGCGGGCTCAGGCAATCCATCACCTCAGTCTTTGTTTTTATGAAGGAAAGTGAAACACTTAAGTATAAGGAACAGGTGAGGAACACCACAGTCTTGCAATTCTGTAGCATCTCACCATTGTTTTGATACAAAGCTCCCCCTTAAACTAATTCAAGTAGTTTGAAGTATTTGTTGTGACTATCTGGTTCTTAATCTTCAGAAGTCATAGATAATAGCTCCTGCAGTGTGTACTATGTAACACACCCCTCGGATCTGGCTTTTTTTTTTTTTTTTTGAGTTGGAGTCTCACTCTATCACCCAGGCTGGAGTTCAGTGGCATGCTCACAGCCACCCCAGTGTCGACCTGTTGGGCTCAGTTGATCCTTCCACCTCAGCCTTCCAAGTAGCCAGAACTACAGGCGTGCGCTACAATGCCCTACTAATTTTCCGATTTATTGTATAGATGAGGTCAGCCAAGTTGCTCAAGCTGTTCTTGAATCCATGGGCTCAGGCAATCCCCTCACCTCAGCCTCCCAAAGTGGTGGGATTACAGGGTGTCCTGCTTTCTGTTAAACAATTTACCACCTCCTATCACCAACCAAATCCAAAAAAATGAGTGACCTGTAACCCTTTTTCATCCACTACTAATAAGAAATAATGGAGCTGAGGAACGATATTATCTATTTTTTTGCAAAATAAATAATTATATTAATAACAATAGTAATATCAGCTGACACATATTCGATGCTCATTTTTTCTGGTCTAGTGCTCAGCATTTAACCCTTGCAATAACCATGTAAGGCAAATAGTCTCATTATCTCCATGTTATCATTGAACGATGTGTATCATAGCTACAGACAGCAGAGCCAGAGTTTAGATCCAGGCATCTGATCTCTGAGCTCACATACTTTACTATTATCCTCTGTTGGGCTGAGCTGATTTAAATTCAGTAGTTACTGGGCATGAAACGTATTTCCCTCTAAACTCGAATATAGTGGAACATCCATATACATGCCATGCAGGTGGAAATCAATATGCAATAAAATAGCAAAGAGCCTTTGCCCCTAGAAATTTTATTTTCTTAGGTTAGACTCCAAGAAATAATCAGAGATTATATTCCAAGCAGCAATCAGAGATTATAAAGTTTAATGAGCAAACATTTTCGGCATGGTTTTTTTTTTTTTTTTTTTGAGAAACTTGCCCGTGGCAGGTCTTTCTGCCATGAAACTCTCCTTTTCCTTCTCTTCTTTTCACTAGTAAACTCTATTTTAAAACTTAAAAAATAAAGTTTTTTCATCACTCTGTAATTTACAGTGATGCTACAGCTAAACCCTGAAGCCTTCAAATAGCTTCTTTGGTACCTACCTATCAAACTCCTTTCCTGACCACAACAGCTTAGCCACTTCTCAGGTGGAGATGTCACTCCTACCCCATTTGTTTTAAATCAATGTTTTTCTTTATTACCCACCTGTATGAGTAAAACAAGAATGCTCTTTCTTTGCCCATCCGAAATCTTGGTCATCCTGTCTTAAGTGGCCATGGTCTCACTGATTGGTGACGTAGCCTGTCTTGGTTTGGGAGCAACTAGATATCTTTTTTTGTTTTTGTTTTTTTTAAGTGAGAAAGCAGGATTTATTGAGAGGACAGAGAAGCTCCCACAGTGGGAGGGGGCCCGAAGAGGTTGCCCCTACTAGGTATCTGTTATGCCTATCCTCTGGAGTAGACGGGGCAGGCGGGAGCTTAGTGGTTCTGGCCCAGGCTCTGCAGTGGGATGGCCAGTTTTAGCCTGGCTCTCTGTTCCTTACCTCAAAAATCTGTTTTCTAACATGTGTGTAAACCAGGGAGAATAAGACTACCCTCCTCAGGGTGCCATTGTGAGGATTAAATGGCTCAGTATAGGAAAAGTCCAGAAGAGCTCATGGAAGATTAACAACCATTATTATGTGTATTTTTGAAGAACTGCCTTACTTGAAATGCCAGAGGCTACTAGGTAGATTCCTCTGGCAACTCTATCTAACCTATCTGTATCTGAACCTGCACAGAATGGTCCAGAGCCTCTGCTGTTAAATAAAAGGGTAGATCTGTAGAAGACCCATTTTAGCACAACAATCTAAAACTAAGCAGATTTTTTAAAAATTTAAAAAGAAGAGTTCTTTCAAGAGCAAGAACATAAACTTCTTTTTTTTTTTTGAGTTGAAGTGTCACTCTGTTGCCCAGACTGGAGTGCAGTGGCACGCTTCTGGCCACCACAGCCTTGACCTGCTGGGCTCCAGTGATCCTTCCACTTCAGCCTTCCAAGTAGCTGGAACTACAGGCATGCACTACCACACCCGGCTAATTTTTAATTTATTGTAGAGATGAGGTCTAGCCAAGTTGCCTGGGTGGGTTTCGAACCTGTGGGCTCAGGCAATCCACTCGTCTTGGCCTCCCAAAGTGCTGGGATTACAGGCTGAGCCACTGAGCCCGGCCAACATAAATTTTTAAAAATCCTACGGAGCTGGGTGTGGTGGCCCATACCTGATATCCCAGATACTCTGGAGGCTGAAGTGGGAGGAGCACTGAGGCCAGGAGTTCACAACTAGCCTGGGCAACATAGTGAGACCCCCATCTCTTTTTAAAATTACAAAGTAAAAAAAAAAAAGAATAAAAATCATACAGACCTTTATGTGAAGCCTGCTTTACCACTTGCTACTGGTGAGCTCACCTATTCTGAGAAACAGTTTTCTAATTTGGGAATAAAATGCTCATTTTGTAGGATTTTCGTGGGATTTAAATAATGTGACATTTACAAAACAGCTAGCGTAATGCTTCCCCCAAACAGGAATCTCTTTTAATTCCTGTCCCCTCCGCCACCGACCACAAAAGAAAGCTACTTATTTTATATGAAATGAACATTGCCTGCCTCAGTACACTGTAGCTTGTGTGTGATTTCACAGCTGTTTTCAGAAAAATCAAGAATGATTTTGTGCGTGGCTGGGTTTGCCTGCCAATGATGGGGAAAGGTGAGATTAAAAAAAAGAAAAATTCTTAAAATGTTTTCCACGTGCTATGAAAGGCACTACTCAACCTCCTTTTAGTAATACTTTAATTGCCTTGCTATAGGCAATGTGTGTTTTCTGTGTGGTCTGTGTTGTAAGGTATTTAAATATGTGAAATAATAATTTAAATCATACTGTGGACATGCTTCATAAATTCTGATAAAGGAGTCTGGGAACAGGACAGGGGACAAAGGAAGAGGAAGATGTGAGGGCAGGGAAAACCCAACCCTTCTCTCCCCATGGGTACTAGCAGCCCAGGAGGAGGGCCACCGAGCATATCTCTCTTCCTTCCACCAGCCCTGGATGCCTGCTGGGACCAGCACATTCCTTCATGGACTGAGTTAAATGCATCAGCTTGTTTCTGAACATAGTGGGAATTGACCACAGACCTGGGCTGTTTCTGCAGCCGACACAGCAATTCAGTACCC